CGGCGATCGTCTCTTCCTTTAAATACTCTTTTGTTTACTTTCTCGAACCTTCTGGAAACATCCGGATAGTTTATTTTTTCTTTGAACTGTTTAACTGCTTTCCCAGAACGCAGGTGCGACACACACATTTACAAATATGGCGCACATGAAGAAAAGCGCCCGCGGCTAGTCGGCGAATCGATAAGCCGTTCACGCACACGTGTGCCCGATCGCACACAAACACACTCGTGCTCGCTACAATATTATTTACAACTTTTCTTTCCCGATATGATGCTATAAAAGAATTTTTGATTTTACTATCTAAAAAATATTTACAATACCTGTCTTCCAATTTTGTTGTAACTCCATCTAATACTGACAATAATTTATCTTCTACTGGTCATTATTTAAGTCAAATTTCTAACTCACTTTTTGTAAAAGCTAAAATTGTAGTAGGTATTGTTAATAGATGAAATTTGTATTTATCAGAAATTGCTTTATGGAAATAAAAAAATAATGGGTGCAGCTTCTAATGAAAACAATTTAGCTACAACAGTTCCGAGCATTTATGATTTGTTCTACATTTGGCAGTTCTTGTGAAAGTGTTCAAAACATTTAATGATACACAATATACCAACTTCTTTTTACTATTTTCTGTGTATTTTACGAACATTTGCAAAATTCAATATTGAATTAAGTATTCTAATGTTATGGCATGCCAGTCGTGTACCCTCAAGTAGACCCGCATGGCCGACAATTTGCTACGCTATGACATACTTGTTCACGGTTTGTAAGATAGAGGTCGCTGTGAATAACCATTTGTGGGGGTTCGGTATAACTCGCACATATAATTAAATGAGCGTGAATGTGAATAACAATAACAATTTATTAATATTAATACAGGAGGTTGATCAATGTTCGAAGCAGTACAAAATCTTACTGACTATGACAGTCGATGAATAAAACTAATATGAATCACCAAGCTGGTGACATTCATTGTTACCAACCTGAGATCCCTGACTTCACGAGTCTCCGTACGGAGCGCTGTGTCGTCATGAAGCAAAGAGGTAGTTGTAGAGTGTACTGAGGTTATGTGTGTGTTTACTTGTATGAGTGTAATCCCCACACATTCAAAATTCTATCAAATCAATCGTTGATTGCTTATAACATAATGCTCGCATTGCCTTCAAACTTATTCCATTTCAAACACTAAACAAGATAGTAGAATAGGAAAACCACAATCGTAAGCATGAATGTTGTGAGCACCTAGTAGAACGTACCCTTGGTGACCTTGAATATAACATTCTGTAGTTTTTAAGATGAATACAATTCATAGACTAAATCTATGGATTAACAGAAACAATGTGTGAGTATGTTACATCGCATATCTATGGGTGATGAAAACCGAATAATTTTTCATAATATAGGTATCTTTCTTAATTTAAATAAATATAAAAATGTCGAAGGCGGTTAGCAGACTTAAAAGTATTAAGAAAACAGCAGAGAAAATACAGCATGGGAAGCTTCGAACAAACATTCCGGCAGGTATGGCTGCAGCAGGGCCACCTTTAGGTCCTATGTTAGGGCAGGTATTGCCTATTAAAACTAAGGTGATTAAACGTTCATACAATCATTTTTCGTAGCGTGGAGTGAATATTGCAGCTTTTTGTAAAGATTTTAATGACCAAACAAAAGATATTAAAGAAGGTATCCCTATTCCAACTCGTTTAACGGTAAATCCTGATCGAAGTTATATATTGACCTTACATAAACCACCAGTGGTGCATTTCCTAAAACAAGCAGCTGGCCTTCAAAAAGCAGCAATGGAACCAGGTTTTATTATTTTTGTCTCATTTACTATTAATTGTGCAATATACAACATATTTTCTTATTTTATTACTATTGATCATTATAGGTAAGGAGATTGCTGGGAAAATTACTTTAAAGCATGTTTACGAAATCGCAAAGATAAAAAGTGAAGATCCAACAATGGAAACTAAAACATTGCAAGAAATATGTTTAATGATATGTGGTATAGCAAGATCTTGTGGTATTGAAGTTGTTAAAGAATTAAATGTAGAGGAACACAAACAATTTATAGTTGAAAGAGCAGCAATTGTTGAACAACAGAGAAAAGAATTACAGGAAAAGAAAGAAGCTAAAATGTTACGAACAGCATAGAAGTGTATATATATATATGTAGACATTGGTAATTTATTTTAAATAAAGTTAATTATTAAAAAAGTGGTCATAATTCTGTCATGTTGACAGTTCCAAGTTCCATATAGCTGACCAGTGTGGTATCTTTCTTGTAGGAAAACAATTTAATTAAGCATGAAGTACTTCAAAAATAGTAAAATAAAGGTACCTTATAAAATGGGTAAAAAAAAGCACTTTTTACACTTTCAAACAAATCTATATCTCTTTTTATTTTTGAGATGTACCACTTAAAAGGAAAATACAATGCAATGATTTATTATGTAAGTGTTGTTTTCCTAACATAACCTTATGATTTTATGCGTATCTGGAAAAAGACTGAAGTATTTCTGGCAAAATTTGTTTTGACTATTTCAATGTTTTTACAAACTTTCAAGTGATTAGCCAGTCCATGCACGAATTCATCATAATATTGGAGGTTTATTTTTTTGTTCCTTCTTCTTTATCTTTTTTGATTTCCTTTCCATGTATTTTTTCATTCTATTTGAATTTTTTAATTCTCCATACTTTTCGATAGCTTGTTCTAACCGTACATCAGCTAAAAATATAGTATTATGCAAATTCTATATGTTAAAGAAGCTATTTAACTTACATTTTTTCTTAAAAACTGGTTTAAATCCATTCATTAACAGCTCTTGAACTTCCTTAGATTGAGCTTCTTGTTGTTCATGTTCATGGATTTGATTTGCCTAAAAAACATTTTTTTAGTATGCATATTGTATAAAAACAAAAGTAGTATATCAATATATATANAGTGAAACTTCTTCAAACACACAAACATACCGGAATAGGGGTTAAGGAATTGGTTTAATGGTATTATTTGTACACTATGAATTTAAATTTTATACTATACACGCCGGAGTTTCCTGTAACTAACGTTGCATTGAAGCGCGCTCAGGGCTCAAGCGATCTCCACTACGAACTCGACTACGTGGTCGAGTAGAGGGAGGACATCCGTTGCATGATTTCGTTACCTAGCAACTCGTATGAAACGAACTTACCCTACCGTGCGTAATGAAGTAGCAATAATTTTTTCTCATTAATTAGAGATAGTCTGTAGAGTGTAAAGGATTGAATATTAATTCAGATTAATGTTTAATTAAATTATTAGAAGTAGTATCAGTACCAATCTTTGTAGTAATCTTTTAATTTTCATTTTCCTATCAGGATTTTCTTCATTCTCAAATTCTCTTTGCAGATGCTTCATTTCTTTCATTTTGATGTTAAATATAAATTTGTAGTTTTGTTTGAATTTCTTATCATCGTATTTTCCACAAAGAGAATCAAACCTTGGGTCTCGTGGTTGAGGCCTTGTAGTAGAAATAGCATTTGTGGTTTGTAGCGATATCTTCTTTTTAGAACTTATTTCTCGAGGGCAATTTTTATTAGAACGTTTAAAGGATCTTCTTAGCTTCTTGACAGAATTGCCTAAGACTGACTCATTTAGTAATTTGGTACCTATTGTTTTCTTCAACTGTAAAAGATCCTCAAAACTCATGGTCGACAGTTTTTGATGGAGTTTTGTCTGAAAATAATGAAAAAAAAAAACATTAAAATAGAAAATAGTTAAGATGCAAAGGGATATATTGAATTATTGGCAATTGCGAACCGTTCAAGCTTTAATGTATGGATAAAAAGTGCCCTACATCTCAATATAAAACACTACTACAAAATCAGTCTACAGAATGAAGCATCATAAATAAATACGGCAGCACCCTGATGTGCATAATGCATCATAATATCCTACATTCTATAAAAATTATATAAAAACAGTGTAGCTTAATTAACTGTTTTCCCATTTTTTGTTTTAGCACAACACTTATTTCATAAATTCCTTCACATCTATTTGTAAGAATTATTATCGTCTTCATTTCTGAAACTTACTCGTCTTTCATCATCCAACTGCGTTAAATCATCCATTTCTAAACTACTATTTCTTATATTCGTATATAAGGTTATACTTTTAAATAGCTGCCAAACTCAGGCAAATAGCTTAATAAGGAAACCAGAGAACACATGAAGACATAAATTTTTGTACTCTCTTGTTCCTTGTTAGCTTTCGATTACCACTTGCCACATGACCAATACTTCTACAGTTGTATATAATATTTATGAGATAACATAGTTAAAAAATGTTTGCTTAACCTAATTTGTATAATATAACTTAATCCATAAATCTAACATATACCCTTTATTAGAAAATAGCCACAGATAAGAGATACATAGTGCGTCAAACAAGAAGAAGAATCGTCAACTTGGATCAGCTAACAAATGGTGTTTTTTTTTAGATTATTGTCTAGGAGGGGAAATCTTCAAAAGACACCCCCTGAAGGGAGGTAGTGTTGTATTTTTACCGACTAAAACCCCTCCTAGAGAAGGGAGATAAACCCTGAGGGTTACTCATCCTCAGGAAAGGAATAAAAGGTTGGGATTTGGAAGAGGAATGAGAAGGGAAATTTGTTAAGCAAGGGGGGGTTCGGGGGGGGGGAGAGAACTGTCGGAGTAGGTGGTCCACCTCGGAGGTGATGGGTGGACCAGGGTATGAAATGTCGAGCGCGAGCGACACCTAAGTTTACCCCACGTAAGTTTTTAAATTTTTTAAATTACCAAAATCGACATTACCGACATACTAGGCGACATACATTTTACTGAAACGACAACAGATGATGCGACGGTGGTTGCGATTATCGGAGGAATTCCCCAATAGTTGTGACGTTATTGAGCAATAGTGAGTAGTTTCACAACTTGCAATATTTTAAAATTTTTGTGAAAAGTACTTTTACCTATCCTGAAAGTAAGTAATATATTAAGTACTTCAATCATGCTTTACAATAAGTAAAGAAAGGATGTTTTCTGCCCAACACAGAAAAACCGTGATGTACAGTCTACACTATTACGGGGTCAAATTAATTTGAAATGTTCTACCTAGATTATACAGTTCCTGCAGGAGTTAAAGGTCAAGATGCCGCTTTCCATTTTCCTGAAGTAACAGCGGTTCCAACGAAAGTGGCAGGTATTGTAATTTGTTGTTGTGAAAC